TGATCATAAGGCGTACACTGAAAGGCTATCAGTCACTGCACTGGTCTATCCTCATCTGAACGATGAAACTACAGTATCAAAGGAGTTCAAACCCACCATTTACCGAGTACAGTTTCGAATGAGTACAGCTTCAGCCGTCAAATCAAGGAGGGTTTTAAAATTTAAGGATTGATTTGAATTAATGAATTTTTCAACGGTCTCTGTTACCGTGGTTTTGCGATGTGGTAATGTGTAAAAATGATTGTGGCAAGAGGTTTACATAGTGAGAGATCTCAGAGATCTTTTAACCATTTTACGGTTGTTATTAAGCTGCATTTTTGAAAGTTGGCAGATGAGACTTGATCTATCTTTTTCAGTGGTTGACGGCATCAACGAACGCTCTTCATTCAACAAATTTAGTCATGTGTTTCTCGTCATCATGTTCCGACCAGTAGCATAGCCCCATTTTCTGCAAATAAACACGAACTCAACACATATTTCCTCCATTCGCTCTGACGAAAGGCTAACGCTCGAAACGTCAGCTTTGAAACACTGTACGGTGGCCAATTTTCATTACAGAACTCAGTTGATAAAACCAAACTGATGATCTTGTTATACTTCCTCACTGACGCTGCACCACAGGTTCTTCAGAAACTTACTCCTTTATTCATTTGATTTTTTGGAAGCCGCGAAATATAAGATTGGTTGGACTATTTTAAAAAAGTTTGGATAGGAAAAGTAGGCATGAAGAGTTGTGATAGAAGAAAATTGAGAATTAAGCATCGTTTTCGAATAACTCGGCTCTCCCACAATTAGGCAACATTAAGCCAGAAAAGTAAACTACTGATATTACCAGAGATCAATTTAGTGAGGCTCTAGGATAACAGATAAAGTTTTTAAATTTGGTGTTACTGAAATTACATTGTTACTCTTAACGACACAGCAACGCAGTTTCTTGAGAAACTTAATCACTTTATTCAGATTTATTTTCGGTAGATATTTAGAGTTGGTCAAGGTCATCTATGAAGGACTAAGCGGATAAACATAACACCTTTCCACTTAGAGAGTCAAAGTTTGTCTACCATGCGTTTCCCTTCTTGAGTTTCAATTTAGTGAACGGGGATTACACCGAAAAACAATCAAAAAGCAAATGATTCACTTCTTCAACTGAACCAGTGATGAATTAAGTGCTTTGGTCGATGCTTTTCTCTTTCGTGTACATGTGATCCCACTTGACTTTTTCACGCGCCTAAAATACAATAATGTATAATTACATAATGAACAACAAATATTGCTTATTTTACAGGATTTACAAAATATTAGTTTGGTGTGACAAAAGAAAAAGGTTGACTAGGTCAAATAGACGAGAAGGTTATTAGAACGGGCAAGATTTAAAGGTTTGCCACAAATGGGGCAAATTGTATAGTTGGGCTAATTTAGGTCGTTACAGATAATGAGGCAAAGACTGACTGAGGTGAACTGCATAAATTATTTAGATGACTCACTGACCTTTCTTGTCACCGCTTTGATTTTTATCTTCCACTCAGCTCATCTACAATAGTTTTTGCTGGATAGAGAAAGTCTCTTCGATAGATTCAATTGCTTGAATTCGAATTTGATACAGAGCATTTGCTCAATATCATTATTAAACACAATTGATATTCCTACAGTAGAACCTATATTATGCGGCACCCTATTGAGCGGTAACCCTCAGTATTGGGTGGTCAGTTTTTCTTTTTCAGTTTTGAGTTTCCGAATTGCTTTGTCCTTTATTGTTCTTGTGCACATGTGGATTGAGCAGTCATTCCCAGGATTACTATTACTTAAGAAAAGCCAAATTTCCTCTGCCTTTAATCTTCCGCCGATTTCATGCAAGGTTGAAAGTCTTACCATCAAAGAAAGAGTTTTTACGAGAAACCTAGTTTATTTGCCGTTAAGCTTCCAAATCGACATGGTAAACTTCTCGTTGGCCACTCTTACAAACGCTACAAATATAACCAGTAGAGAAGGCGACGCAGCAGATGTCCCATCAGTAGCTGGTTCTATAATTATAATCATCATCAACACTATCACTTGTCCCTTCACAGTTCTGCTCA